CATATGTACATGTCTTTATCTAGACTTCTATAAATGCCCTTTTCCTCCCAGCTCTTTCCTCTATTTCCCTTGATTTTCCTCAAAAAGGGAGTTTCTGTACCGCGTGTTCTTCTTCCAGAAGCTTGATAAATGTTTTGACAGAATTTTATTTTGCATTCTTCCATTGTTACTTCATTTGTGGATTGTGTGTGTATGTGTATTGTATGTGCTTCCATCTGTGTGTGCCTCTCATTTTTATTTATTTTTTTCCGCCCACCTACTGTCACATAACCTCCAAAGTGTTCTGCCTTTGGCTTGAATCTATTTTTCTTTAATTAAAAATTTTGAAGTATTGTTTTTAGAGATTGACTAACTTTTCTGAGCATAATATCTTCCAAATCTGCCCATGGTGGGAGGGGTGTGACAGTTTCATCATTGTTCAATAGGTATGCTTAATATTCCACTGTATGCATGGACCAGAGTTTGCTGATCATTCCTCTACAGATGGACACTGGTTGTTTCCATCTTTTTGCTTATGAATAGTGCTGCATTAAACCTGGGTGTGCATACAAGGGGGTACCCCCCAAAAAACAGAATTGAGCTGGGTGGAGCAGAGCTTCTGTAGTACGCATTTTTATTGCTGGGTGAGCATCAAGGAACTCACTTTGAGTTAGTGCACCCAGTCACATTAGCTGGGAAGGTTCTCTGTGGTCACAGTGCAGTTTTTGGTGAAAGCAGTTTCACTTAAACTTTGTTTTTTGTGATGGCCTATTGAAGAGAACAGCATGAGGCTGTGAAATTTTATTTCCTGCTTGGGAAAAATGTCGCAGAAACGGTTGTGATGTAGAACACAATTTACAAGGACAGCACTATGAGAAAAACTCAAGTGTACAAGTGGTTTTCTCGTTTCTAAAAAGGTGAAGTATCGATTGAACACAAACCTCATTGTGGACATTCGTCATCTTCCCAAGCAAATGAAAATATTGACTTGTGTATTTGGAGTTCATTCCACCATGTCAGGCTGTTAATCAAGCTTTCTATTTAGAGGTTCTGAAAAGATAGCATAACAGTGCGCAACAAAAAAGACCTGGTTTGTGGCAGACAGTGCACTCTTTGCCACCATGAGTAAGCATCTGCTCATGCAGCCATCTCAGTGTGCCAGTTTGGGGGCAAAAAACAGCATGCCTCTCTTGCCCCACACACCTTAATCACCTGCCTCTCTCCGTGTGACTTGTTTTTGTTACCACAAATGAAGAGGGACATGAGAGGACAGCGATTTGATGATGTAGAAGAGGTGAAGAAAAAACTTAAGGTGGTGCTATCAGCCAACCAAACAGATAAGTTTGAAAAATGTTTCCAAGAATGGAATTGCCGATTTGACAAATGTATTAAGTGTAATGGAGAGTACTTTGCTTAGGATCTTTTGTGAAAACAATTTCGTGCGTGGATTTGATTTATGGCATGTCCGATTGCATGGGCCTTAGTGTCCCATGTCAAAGCATACTGTAACCCCGAACCATTGCCTGGCTTTGCCCCGTGGGCTTCAGGTACTGAAGCGGCTTGCACAGTGGGGAAAGAAAAAAAAAATTTAAATACATTACTTTGAAAAGCAATTCTGTTTTGGGGGGGTACCCCCTCATGTATCTGTACTTTTTTTTTTAATTCCTTTGGTGTGTATACAGAGTAGAAGGATTGCTGGCTCTTGTGCTATTGCTATTTGCAAATATTTAAGGAAGTACTGTACTGTTTTCTATAATGGCTGTATAATTTTGCAGCGATGCCCTTTATTTTTTTTAAAACTTTTATTGGCAGTTCATCCATATATCATTATAATTCAATAGTTGAGTCATATCTAGAAGAGTTGTTCAATCATTACCACAATCTATTTTAGAACATTTTCTTGTTCATTGTCCTCATTATTATTAGTATAATAATTTTTAAAATTGTGACAAAATATTCTCCAGTTCAACAACTTGTACATGTGTGATTCATTGCCATCTATTATACCCTTAGTGTTATATAAGCATTATTGATATCCTTTTCCAAATCACTTTACTAACCTAAACACAGTATACCCTAAGCAAAATCTCTTACCCCTTCACCTATGGTAACCATTGGTCACCTTTGGTTTCTTCCCTTTTCCTTTTTTTTAAAAGTAGTTTTGTTAATACAAAATTTAAGTATCATACACTTCCATTGTTAAGTCGCTTTTCAGAAGAGTTGTATATCCATCATCACAATCGGCTCTAGTGCTCCCATCCCCCTCCCGCATTCATTGTTTGCTCCCCTTCTCCTCAACCCCTACCCCATCCCAGATTGCATCAGTTATTGTCTCTATGCAAGGGATGCCCTTTATTGGCACTCTTACTTATTTATTTTATTATTCTTAAAAAATCATTTTATTGGGCACTCATACAACTCTTATCACAATCCATACATACGTCAGTTGTGTCGAACACATTTGTACATTTGTTGCCAACATTCTCAAAATATTTTCTTTCTACTTGAGCCTTTGGTATCAGCTCTTCATTTTTCCCCCTTCTTCCCCCACCCTCCCTCTCTCACGAACCCCTGATAATTTATAAATTATTATTTTTTCATGTCTTACACTGTTCAGTGTCTCCCGTCACCTACTTTATTATTGTACATTCCCTAGGGAGGGGGTTCTGTGTTGATCACTCTGATCAATTCCCCCCCTCTCCCCCACCTGCCCATTACCCTCCTGGTATCGCCACTCTCACCATTGGTCCTGATGGGTTTATCTGTCCTGGACCCTGTTTCCAGCTCTCATCTGTACCAGTGTACATCCTCTGGGCTATCTGGATCTCCAAAGTAGAACTGGTACCATGGTAGTTGGGGGGGGCGGGGGGAAGCATTAAAGAACTAGAGGAAATTTGTATGTTTCATCGGTGCCACAGTGCACCCTGACTGGCTCATCTCCTTCCCACGACCCTTCTGTAAGGGGATGTCCAGTTGCCTACAGATGGGCTTTAGGTCTCCATTCTGCATTCCCCCTCATTCACAATGGCACGATTCTTTGTTCCTTGATGCCTGATATCTGATTCCATCGACACTTCATGATCACACAGGCTGGTGTGATTCTTCCATGTGGGCCTCGCTGCTTCTCAGCTAGATGATTGCTTGTTTATCTTCATGCCTTTAAGACCCCAGATGTTATATCTTTTGATAGCCAGGCACCATCAGCTTTCTTCACATTTGCTTATGTACCTGCTTTGTCTTCAGCAATTGTGTCGGGAAGGTGAGCATCATGAATTGACACTCTTATTTAATATTGTCCCAGAAGTCTTAGCCAGAGCTGTTAGACATCAAAAAGAGATCAAAAGTATCAAAATTCTCATGGACGAAGTAAAACTCTGTTTGCAGACAATATAACTTTACACATAGAAAACACCAAAGACTCTTTTAAGAAAATTTATGCAACTAATTAAAAAATTTGGCTAAGTGGAAGGCTATAAGATCAAGAGACCTAGCACTTTTAATAATGAATCTTAAAAGATGTCCTAATGACTAACCAGGTACATAGAAATGTATATACATCATGATCCTTATAACACTTTTTTTGGGACAGCAAAAGTTGCAAACAGTGAATTACTGTATATACTTGAGTATAATCCGATCCGAATATCAGTCAAGGTACCTAATTTCACCACAAAAACTGCATTAAAAATGTGCTGAAAAACAGCTTATACACGAGTATATATGGTAGTTATACTATATCATGAAATTAAAATATAATGGAATTTTCCCACCACCTCTTTGAAGCTTCCTTATTTATAATGAAAATACCATACAGCCAGTTAAAGAATGATATATACTGATGAAGAAATGACACATTTCTGTTGACCCTAGTAACCACTAATAAGCTTTGATATCTATATTTAAAAAAAAAGAAATGACACCTTTTAAAATAAGTAAAAGATGAATGATATTGCAATGCAAATTGTAAATATGAATTTGCTTTCAATCCCCTCCTTCATACCTCCCCCTAAAAAGTAAAGGGGGAAAAGTAGAAAGAGGGAGAAAAGAGAAAAGTCTGGAGTCTATCTATTAAGATGTTAGCTTTTTTTTGTCTGGGTGAAGGTGCAATGTATTGGATTTTCTTCTTTTCATCCATCTGCATGTATATATTAAACTAATTATCAGTCAAAATGCTATTGATACTTGGTATAAGATGTCACTGGTTTTTTTTTGTTGTAGAAATTAATTTAGAATGGTTCTGTTTTCTTTGTAAGTGTGAATTTGAGTCAAGAAAAGGGAAACGATGATAATGAGGATTGTTTTGAGGTCTGCATATATGAGTAGCCAGAAATAAAGCCAGTAAAGAGAAATGAGTCAAGTCCCGTTGAGAAAAAAAAAGACAGGTAGGCAACAAGTATGCAGGTGGAGCTGACAGGCTATATCACTTGTGACTACAAGTCTCCTGTTAACCCAAATATAACCTTTAATTAGGAGAATGCTACTCTAAGGCAGTATTTATTGGCTTATTTTGTATTGAAATGTGTATTGGAAGATGGGATCTAAAACTCTTGGAAATTTGATCTCTACATTTTAAAAATGCATTCTTTTTTTTTTTTTCTTTCTTTCTTAACATTTTATTAGGGGCTCATACAACTGTTATCCCAATCCATACACACATCAATTGTGTAAAGCGCATTTGTACATCGTTTCTCAAAACATTTTCTCTCCATTTAAACCCCCGACATTAGGTCCTCATTTTTCCCCTCCTCCCTCCCTCCCCCCTCCCGCCTGAGCCCTTGATAGTTTATAAATGGGTATTTTGTCATATCTTGCCCTGTCCGACGTCTCCCTTCATCCACTTTTCGGTTGTCTGTCCCCCAGGGAGGAGGTCACACACAGTTCCATGTAATGGGTTCCCTCTTTCGAACCCATTCTCCCTTTACCCTCCCTGTTTTGCCGCTCACACCACTGGTCCTATAGGGCTCATCCGTTAAAAATGCATTCTTTATCTTTTGTCACAGACTTTAAAGATTTTGATTAGTCATTTCTTGCATGGATTTTTAAGCCTGGACAATTTAAGTGTTTCTTAATCTGTTCACTTATGAGTGTATGAAAAGTGAGTGGGAAAATTTCTCGTCACATTTAAAAAAATTTTAATCAAATTGCTGAATAATGATGTAATATTGAATTTTCTTCATTTAATTTTCCTTGAAAATTATTCTTCTTGTTTGATTTACAGAACTGCTTCTGAAGTGCATTTAATGAAATTTTCACCAGATGGAGAATTTTTTGCCACTGCTGGGAAGGTAAATTATGAAAATATTGGTAAAAGAATTGTATGCTTTTGGTTTACTTTTAAACTTAAAACATTAAACTAGCTTCATTCCTTTACTTAAGTTGGAGATATTTTCTTTTTTTATGTTTTCAATTAAAATATTAAATAGAAAAATTAGCTAATTATTGTAGTATTAAAAAGGCAATATGGTACAGTTGAGCTAGCACTGTGATCGTGGGCAGGTTATTTAATCTTTTGAGTCTTGGTTTTCTCATGTTTAAAATGAGGTTAATATCACCTACTTCTCAGGTGGTTAATAATAGAATTAAATTACATAATGCATCTAAAGTGACTGGTACAATGCCTTGTATGTAATAAAAGACCAATAAACTATAAAACAAAAGACCTACTGTTATAAGTTGATTCTAACTCAGAGCAGTCCTGGGTAGGGTTTCTTAAACTGTAAACCTGTACAGAAGCAGATAGCCTCATCTTTCTCCCTTGGAGCTGCGGGTGAGTTTGAACTGCCTACATTGTGGTTCCCACCCGCCCATTGCCTAACCCACAGTGTCTTCAGGGGCTACTATTAAATAGCTTTGGCTGACAACTGGGGTTGATTAGTTTGTAGATGAAAGTTTTCTAGAAAGGTATTTGTAATCATTAATGTGCATACTTTGCTACCTCCTGTTTTCAGAACAATTTATTTCTTTAAAATTGTTTTCTTTTTTGTTTTTAATCATTTTATTAGGGGCTCATACAACT